GCGTTAGTAGGTTTAAGATAGTCCTTTAAGGCGATCAGGATATCTTTAACCTCCTTCTTCCCTATATACTAATCTTTAAGGTTAGGATTAACTATCTTCGCGATATAGTCGTGAAGTGTAGCTAGACCTTATTACTATTACTGATATTTATTCTCTTTTACGTTCTATACCTTAAACTTACGATCCTAGGCATTATCGTCGTTACCTTCTTCTAGAGGTTCCGAGGATATAAGCTATTAAGGACGTTTAGATTCCTTAAGGTCTAGATTAACGATGTTAGAGACCTAGTTAGCGTAGGGTATCTATATAATAGCCTCGATCCAATAACGCTATTCTTTTAGTGAGGTAAGGATCGTATAGCCTATTATAGGCAACGCCGTAGTTAAGGCTATCGTCTGACTAACTAGGACTATAGGGAAATAAACTATTAAAGCCGACTATAATAGACCGATTAAATAAGGAGCGATTATACAAGATAGAACGAGAGGGGATTAAGCGATTTAAGCGATTTAAATAAGAGGAAATAACGGAATAACGGTTAAAATAAAGCAGGCGGATATAGCTAATAATACTAAGCTAACCGCTATAGACTTAAGGCTATTTTGACTGCCTTAAAGCTACAGGATCTATCGGAATAGCTTCGTTTATTAGAACGCCGGGCTTATAACTGTCAGCACACAAATAAGGTACGCAAAAGATATATATATGCATTAAAGAAGAGTAAAAGATACTCTACGGAAATATCTAACTATAAGGTAAAAGGAGCGGAAATCGATATGGATATATCGGTCGGAAGTACTCTATCCGAGTACATAAATAGCGCAAATCACACCCCGATAAGTGTGTGGTGGCATCTAATAAGGTAACTACGAGAGAACTATAAGAGGGTTTATCGTGACGCGGAAACTACGGGAGATCGTGGTAATATAGTAACTACGGGAACTTACTATAATACGGGCAATTACGAGTAAACCGATTTAGCGCTACGAGGGAGTTTACTATTAAGCGTTTACGTGGAGCGCCGTGGTAACTACGGCGGAGAGATTAGATAGTTTCGGTTACGAGTATAGTATTTCTAGTCCTTCCTTCTTTATACTCCGGGTAACGCGGCTTGTTTTATACCTCCTAACCGCTTTACGGGTTACCGTGGTATTCTTTGGATATTTACTACTATTCTTTAGATGTCCACCGCTATTCGGGGTTATCTAGGCGTCGCCTAGAATAGCGGCCTTTAACGCCTCTATCTTCTTTAACGTATATCCACTACTATTCGCGGTTATCTAGGCATTTACTTCTTTAACGCTTCACGAAGGTTATTTAACGCCTCTTATACGGCTCTCCTATAATTACGCGACGGTATAGTGCCCGTCTGTATCCTGCTAATAGTCTATATATTTAACGGTTCTAATAGTAGACTACTCTAAAACTACGGATAGTCTATAAACTAATATTCTAATAGCGGACTATCGTGGAACTATAGATAGTCTACGAAATAACGTCCCTAAGTATCTACCCCGGGCGATATAAGCCCTATATCCCGCGGGCATCCTTAAGCGGCGATAGTATATATAATAGAAAGGAAAGAAGGGAAAGGAAAGAAGCGAACCGCTAGGTAGTAATAGGAAGCGATTAGCGAGGGCTAAAGGGAATAGAATAGAATAGGAAAGAAAAAAGGGAAAGGAACGGAAAAGGGTAAAATAAACCGCTAGGTAGTAATAGGGAGCGAATAGCGAGGGTAATAGAATAGAAAAGGAGAGAAGGGAAATAAGAGGAAAGGAGTATACGTTATAAAATAACGGAGATATATTAGGGAGAGACGGTAAACTATAATATAGAGCGATAACGTAGTGGTATACTACGGGCGGATATAAGGAATTAATAGTAAACCACGATATTCGCCTAGGAAACGGGTCCGTATTCGGATCCTTAGCCGGTATTAAAGCGAGTAGAGATCTCTGCCGTTTAGTTATCGGGGGATATTATAGTCTTCTACGGCGTTATCCCGAAGTCCGCGAGGAGCTTAGGGGGGAGCTTAGGGTCCTAGTCGGAAACGATAAACATGGCGGTATACGTATTATAGTCTATGGATAGGCCGGGGGGCCTTAGTGAACTTATCGGCGGCGGCTAAGGGAAGCCCTCCCTTTAATAAGGAGAATAACCCGAGGGACCTCGGGTAAATCCGCTAAAGGCTAGTAGAATAAGGGGAAGCCCTCCCTTTATTAGGGAGAATTAGCTAAAAGGGCCTTAGGTAGTTTAATAATAAAATCTATAGCTCACGATTAAGCTATTTCTCTTACGGCGGAGGCTAGGGTATACCCCTAAGCCTTAGGATATATAGCCTCTCGCACGGATACTAGTTCTATGCTTTTCCTTTTAGGGTTATTACGCTACTAGCCTCGGATATTCTCGGCACATTTAGCTGTTTTAGTTAGCGAGCCTGTGCTAGGAGGAAAATATTCTCCGCGAGATACGGGTAAAGGGAAGATTACGGTAAGGGGAGGTTAGCTCCCCTTGTACTCCGCGGGAAAAAGGGGGAAAAAAAAAGGGGGGGGGAGTTATCGAGTAGCTTAGTGCCACGGTAAAGGAGGGGGAAATTATCGGAAGGTATTAGAGCTCGGGATCGATCCACGGTAAATACTAGTGCAGGTTAGTATAGGCGCTATTCCTACGCTTAACTAATAACCGTGGATTCCTTAGTATACTCCGCGGAGAAAAG